ATCCTTTTCCCTTTTGGCTACCTTTTATTTCTGTTTTCCCCAGTATCCTTTCTCTAACCCACCCCTCTAATTTGAAAAAAAGACAAACAAAAAAACATCAAACCCATTACCACCAATTCTGAGTCATGATGACTAGAGTTATAGTCGTTAGAGTTGGACTGCCCCATTGGGTTTTCTCAGCCATAATCTTTACAGAAGCAGTTCACCAGGCCTTTCTTCCAAGGTGCTGCTAAGTGAGTTTGAACCATTGACCTTTAGGTTTCTTTTGCTGTTGTTGTGTGAGGTCAAGTTGGTTCCGACTTATACCTGTGTAGGGTTTCTGGGAGTAGCTGGTGGTTTTGAACTGGTGACCTTGCAGTTACCAGTCTAGTTGCTTAGCCTACATCACCACACTCAGGGTCAAACTTCTCACTGCCATCGAATCAATATTGACCCTGGATAGGTTTTCCCAGACTATAAATTATGGAGCAAAAAGCACCATCGTTCTACTATGGAGCAGCGGGGGGATTTGAACTGCCAACCTTGTGATTAGCTGCCCAAGACTATACTACAGTTGAATGTCATTCATTTGTACTAGCCAGAGGCCCCTATTCCCATGTTGTCGTTGTTGTTGTGAAGTGCCATGGAGTCCATTCCAACTCAGAGTGAGCCCACACAGGGTTTCTGAGGAGCAGCTGGTGGGTTTGAACAGCTCACCTTTGTTCGCAATCCAGAACTTAGGCTACATTGCCACACCTTCTCAAATTCTTTCACAATTCCACTGCCTTCCCTACATGCCTTGTTTTAACTTCAAAGAAAAAGGACCACATGCAAGATAACGACCTCCAGTACAAACAAGAAGGTTCCCCCAACCTCCTTCCTTCCAACTGCAATATTTGAAGTACAAAACAAGTTCACTCTCTGTTTCGATTCATTCATCTATAGCAAGTCCATAGTACTTCAAAAAATGGAGGCGATTTGACAATTCATTGCCCAGGAACCTAAAAAGAAACACACTAAATGAACCAGCAAAGTAGTCCCGCTACTGCAATTACGTGACCTTTGGAGAAAAAACAGGGCTCCCTGGGCGTCTAATTAATTTCTGGAGGGAGGAAAGGTGGAGCAGAGCATTTCCTTGTTTTTCTCTAGAAGTATGCAAGGAACCCACAGCTGAAGCACCCTTCTGGGGACTGTAGAAGGTGCCTCCCAACACTTTTTCACGTGACATAGAATGACATCTGCTCAGTCTTTTTATCCCCCTTTCCCCCCATAGCTGAGTCCCCCATTGCCCACCGTGTCCTCTACCCCTCCAATGTAGGCAGTAGGAGGACCCAGGTCAGCTCTGACTTGACAGACTGCATCCAGACAATGTAAGAGCCACTTGACCCATCTGTTAATTAGCCATTTAAAACCAAACCAAAAAAGCCACACAGTTCCTCCCTCAGAATGATTCTCATCTCCAAGACAAGATTGAATCAACTCAGGGTGAGGAGAGAAGAACAGGTTTGGATTTGAAGCATCTAGCTTAGAATAGCCTTTTTCTGGGCAGAGCCCACATGCCCTTGGAGGACAGCAGCAGCCCCTCACCGAACAATAGCCTCGGGGTAGCACTGCAGAAGTCACTCATGAAACATTAAAATCGGAGGATGCTTTCTCCTCCTCCAGCCAGCTTGAGTCTGAGCCCGGGGCACACAGGAATGCTGGTTAGTGACACCCGTGGGAAGTGGGGTCGGCTTGAGAAAGGTGGGCACAAAATGCTCAGCACTGTCCAGGTCTAGGGTGCAGGTCTGCCCCCTTGGGGCCAGTTCATGAGTCTGACATTGCACTCATGTTAGAACTACCACAGAGAAGAAATATGAAGGTAAAGTCTAACCATTCTTAAAAAGATCAAACCTGTTCTTCCCAGCAGCGGGGGAGAGGTGCAAGAATGTCCTGCACAAAGACATGTGTTTGCCCAGCCGGGGACACCAAGGCAAAGCAGATGGCTGCTCTGAGTGGACATCCAGTGTTCATCCTTTTTAACCCTCCCACAAATGTCACTCTTCCATGAGGTGGTTCTCCACACTCAGACCCAGCTGCTAGAATAAGCTTATATTCTCTTTGCTGAACTATTTCAAGGAATGTGTCACTTCCTTCCCTGACCTGGTAAGGTGGCACGTCCTTTTTCCCCTACTCCCCCTGGGGAAACTCCTCATGGTGTGAATATTTGTCTCTTTCTCTCAATGCTCCCTCCTTTCCTGACCACAACCCGCCAACAAGACAATGTATGCAGAGACCTTCTGGGAACAGATGAGCAGCTGCCTAGGGCTAAGGGCGGGAATTGGGGGGGGGACGGGGGGGGGGGGGGGGGGGGGGGGGGCGGGAGAATAGAAAGCAACTGCTAATGCATATGGGGGTATCTTTGTCGAGTGATGAAAATATAATAAAATAGTGATGGTTGCACAAGGAGTTGAACCTAGTAAAAACCAATAAACTATATACTTTTAAATGGGTAAATTGAACGGTATGTAAATTAGCTCTCAATAAAGTTGCTACACAAACAGCAACATCTCCCTGGAATGGCAGGTGGCGAGTGACAGGTCTGGGCAGTGAGAAGAGTCATAGTAACTCACCCCACGAGTCCACCGTGACTCCCCAAAGGTGCTCCCTGACCGCCAACAAGCCCTCCAAGGAAGAGGTCAAGGTGGGATACTGCTGGGCTCATGTGACCCAAAAGTGAAAAGTAAGTTTTCTTGACCTGCCCAAGGTCACTCAGGAAGGGTCTCAGATGGCTCTCTCATCCCTGTCCTCCTCCTCTCCCACCACCACCACCACCACCACCACCGAAGCAAGCACCCATATGACAGTTTTCTGAAGCACTGAGCAGGCAGCAAGACTGCAGCTGCTGGAAGAGGTGCTGTGAACTGAATAAGTGAGGAGATGAACTTGAGACAGAAACATCCCGTATTTACATAATGGTCTGAGGGCCGCAATCCATCTCCTTTCCCTCAGTCATCTCGCTCTCCCACCTCGAGAAAGAAACTGCTAAAACATCACTACAATCATCCTGAGTTGAAGGGGGGTGGTCAGCTGGGTGGGGAGGGAGGAAAACACCAAAGGGGGCAATGACATCTAAACATCTTGATCCCAGCAACAGAGGACACGACGCCCAGTGTCATCCTGGGCACCACGAATAGACTCTGCATGAGGTAGCACAGTCCGGATAGGGGGCAGCTTTCTCAAAGTGCACAGAACTTGGACTCAGGCAAGACAGAAACCCAAAGAAAAACTTGAGAGAATCAACAGCACTGAGGTTTGCCGAAAGGACCGGACCAAAGGAGAAGAAAGGAGCAAAGGAGACCCAGGGCTTGAAGCAAAGAGGGAAGAGAAGAATTAGTATGTGTGCTTCAAGGGGCAGCTAGCCCACGTACAATTCTCTCAGCTTCCCAGGAGAGCAGAGAGAGGGCCCTTTACCTTCATTTCTCACTGTCCCACTTGCCCTCAATATCTGGGGAGCCTGAACTGAACACAATCCATTTCTCACAATTCTGACAGTGCCCAGAGCCAGCCCAGGGACAGAAAGGATGCTGGGTAAAACTTTACTACCTGAGAGACACATGGTGTGGCACCTCAGGTTGATGACTAGGGGCTATTTAAAAATAATAATAATAATTTAAATCTCCTTTTGAAAGCAACTCAGTTCTAATGCCGGAGTTTGTCAGTACCAAAATACCCACATTCAGTGGATTTGACTCAATAAAACCTGCCAGGGAGTAACATCTTCTCACCACCCACATTATCAAGGGGGAAAAAAAAATTAATCAGTTTTTCCAGGATGCGGAGAAATTTCTACATGCCTTTCTCTCTCTTCATCAAGCAAGGTACAGATGATTAATGTCCACAGCAGTGAGGGAAGAAGGTTTTCAGGCCAAAAGGATAACACACAGGGTGCTGTGATGAGGTAAGCACGTATGGTTCAGGGTGGGAGCCTGCTGGACCAACACATATATAGGATAGGCCTGGGGTGCAGTCATGGTTACTAGGCCAATGCCCACAAGATGTACCAAAAACAGAGCCATCTCCTGAGGCAGGATTTGTTCCCTGAAAGGACTTCGTTGCCATTCCAAGGAACTGTCTAACCATCAGTGGAGAACTGGGGGCCAAGCTACTTTCCTTTCCCTGTCTTAGAGTTGTGAGCAGACAGCTTGGGTCCCTGATAATTCTCTCCCTGTCACTTCTGAAAGGACTCACTAGGAGTGAGGGCACCTTCTGAGCTGCCGGCTTATGCTGCTGGTGACTAGGCTGCCTCCACACCTTCCCCAATGTAAGCAATGAAAGAGGTCCCACCAGGTTTAACCTGGCAAGAAGTGTTCGTTAACTAAGACTCTGCTTACAGGGCTTAAAGGACCAAGTCTTCTGGTCTCAGCCAGAAAGATAAACATCGCACTTGGCAGCATGTAGTGAAGACAAGCCATCTGTATTTGGCCGTGAGGGAATGGAGAAACCTTTATTTCTTCTTTTCTCCCCAGGAACGAACATCTTTTTCTGCATCACCTCCACCCTAAACATACTCAAAAACCAGCCCAAGCTTCACCAAATCACTCGGTACTCGGTGCTCTGTCTATTAAGGTCTCAACATTGGTTAGTTTCCTACACTGAGATGATGCTCTGGTTCAACTGGAAAAACCAAATGCTACATGAACCTGCACCAAAGTAGTGACATAGAATGAAACAGTCCTAGACCTCCATCCAGCATTACAGAATTTGTCACATTCTTAGAATCCAACTTCTTCAGGTACTTGACCAATTCTTTACTTTGCAAATCCCCTTACCACCAAAGCATGCTTTTCGAGTTGGGGGGGGGGGAGATGTAAAGATGGATAAGAATAGGCTCTGACCACATATTCAAAGAAGTGAAGACGGAACTGTTTTAAGAAGATGGACAGGAAGCGGTGATGAGAAGAATAAAGGTGGGAAAAGAAGCAAGTTCCGAAGCGCGAGACCACGGAGAGACGAGGGGTAAGCTGGGCGGTCTCTCTCACCTGTGGATGTTCATCTCCCGAGGAGGGCGGTGGGCCTTGTCATAGGAGACCTTGGCGAAGACGCCGGCCACAATGACGAAGGCGATCACTCCGCAGGTGATGTAGACGGTGAAGTTGGTCTTGTCCTTCTCCGGGTCGTACTTGTTCTCGGGCCCCGGAGACACCACCTTGGTGCTGGGCGTCTGCACCCACACCGGACTCTGGTAGTTGGTGCACTGGCCTTGGTCCAGCTTCTCGTGGCGCTTCTTGCAGCAGAAGCGGTAGTAACAGGTGCCGCAGCAGTACAAGTAGCCGCTCTCACTGTTGTTACACTCGAACTCCTTGTCGTACTGGCCGCTCACGTCGTAGTAGCCCCAGCACGTCTCGTAGGTGACGGCCGCGCTGGGCGCCGCCGCCGCCGCCGCTG